AGCATCAAATAACCTAGATTGGTGCAAATTAACACCAAATGGGTGTTCATACAGACACAACTATTTACACTGAAGAGGTGTAAAATAACACTAAAATCAGTGTTAACTGACACCTTTTTGGTGTCCCCACAGAGGCAAGAATTTACACCGATTTTGGTGTTGTGGCAACACTCCCAGATTTACAGTGTATATATATATATATATATATATATATATATATATATATATATATATATATATATATATATATATATATATATATATTTTATATATATATATATATATATATATATATATATATATATATATATATATATATATATATATATATATATATAAATTATATGGGGGGAGGGTACTTTGGTTTCTTGTCATTTATTTGAGATGCTGACATGTATATATATATATATATATAGTAGTGCCGCGGATTTAAAATAATTTTATATTACTGTCTTCAAGGAACTTCTGAACTGCCACAGAAATGTAACTATATATTGTAATTTCTGTCATGTTACTACATCCTCATGTAGTATGTAATAACAATATAGTGCAGAGAGTTGTGTGTTGTTCAATGAGAAGGCCAAAAGTTTTGTTGAATGTTTTGAAAAGTTTTCGATCACGCCAATTTTAATAACAAAACCATGTTCAAGAAATGTTGCATTAATTCAATGCATTATTGTGTTTTCAATTTTTTATGCTTTGATCGCAAATAATTATCGTAAGATCTTCTTGATGTATGTCAGCCAAAAACACAAAACGAAAATTACAAAAAAGCTAACTATAACCATTCGTTTCGTATTATAGTTACGCATTATATATATTTATCAACCACATAGGCCTATACAAAACAATGGAAACTCCGAAGAAATTCGTATTTTTATTTCAACGTTTCGACTACTGTTGAGTCATCATCAGGAATTATCATAATCATAATTCCTGATGATGACTCAACAGTAGTCGAAACGTTGAATTAAAAATATGAATTTCTTCGGAGTTTCCATTGTTTTGTATTTATTAGAATACTCAGTGGTTATCGAAAATATAGGCCTATATGTCTTCAAAAATATTTCAGAAATACGGACCGAAAGAAAAAGAATGTTTTTATTTGATTATGGAATTAGACAATAATATAACACGTACGTCGGGGAACCTGATCTGTTCCTATTTGTTCACATATTGACAGTACGTACAAGGCTTCTAAAACGTATCGCCCTGTCCTAACTGAGTTTAACATGAACTTGGTAGAAAATAAAGGTTATATATAATACTGAATATTAAAAAAAAACTGGAGAAGGCCACGTTAATTAAAGCAGTCAGGAGATATATGTTGCAATTTTCCGCGGAGTTGAGAATGCTTTACTATCATATAACTGTAACCACACACATGCAAGTACTTACGTTTATTGAAATTTTGTGAATAGTCAATAGATCTTTTGCCAAAGTTGAAGTGTTTGAGGCACGATTGCCTGCAGATTTGTTTAACTCTGTTATGTAATTTGTAACCACAGTTTATGGCCTCGTTGTCACTACGGCATTTCTGCTTATAGACTTCTTTGAATGCCTTGTCGTATATATATGTTTGAATGAATGATGACGTCCTGCGAGAGTGGAACCTGGGCCAAGAAATCCTTGGTACGCGCACCCTAGGCAGAGAGATTCTTGGCCACCGGTACCTGGGCAATCGTGGCAAACTGAAACGTCCTCCCCATCCTTCGCATTCAATAGCGAATATTCCAATCAGGAAAATCAAACAGATAATTTTCATTATTTTCGATAAATCTAGAAAAATATGTTGGTTTTAGCAAACATAGGCTACTTGCACGAATTAGAGCTACAGTACTTGACATTGGAGATCGAAGAGCAGTAGTAATTATGATTTCAGCTGCGACAATTTCGCTCTGTGACTAATATGAAAACACCTCAGATATGTACTGGGGTAATTCTTTATTTTACCCATATAAAATTATAAACTTGAACATGCATAGCAATAGCTAGATTTGTTTGACATGCACAGTGTTAACACAATACTTACAACTTGGCGAATCTTCAAATTTCAAGGTGAGTTCGTCCTTCTTGATTTTTTATAACTTGACGCTTGCGTAAGAACAAACTGCCTTATATCTACCTGTACTTCGTAGGCCAAATCCTTTTATACGATCGCTTTAACATAACGAAATAGACCTGCTTTGCATTACGCAATGGCATTATTTTCCCGTTTTCGATGCCATTTTGTTTTTCTCTCGGTTTATCTGCATCCGGTTAGATGTTTTTGTTGTTTTCTTCTTTCTACCGACTTCCAAAAATAAATACGCAGTTGAAGCGGATGAGTTAATTCTTGGATTTTGTTGGACAGTGAGATATAATATAGTAGCTAGTATAGCCAGATAACAGATACCTGGTTATACTAATCAGAATATGGCAGGAAGTCAGATAAAATTACTAAAGAATTTTACCAGAAAGAAATAAAAAATACAAACTAGCAACATAAATATCTAAATAGATTTAGCGACATAAATATCTTAATCAGGTCATGTTTCCTATATTTAGAAGCATTCGACTGTGATTGGCTGCTTTCAGGAATGGAATGTTGTGCTCGAGTGAGCAGACCCTTATTGGGAGAATTCTCGACACAAAGAGCGGCTGCGATGTAGACTATTATAAGGGCAGCATATGTAAGAAAATAGCGCTTAAAAGCCTATAATCATCATTATTTGAAGGGTTTGTAGATGGAAATTATCGAGAGGAAATTATGATATACATTTGTCTATTGAAACGTCACTGGATGAATAAAGAAAATTCCCGGCGGTTGTTTGCCAATTACTCGAATATGGCAGCATCTGATAAATACGTATTACTAAGCGAGATAGAATTAATTTGATGTAAATTTGAATTTGCAAAATCTTCGAAAATGGGTTTGGCAAAGAAATTGGAACTGCATGAATGTGGCAAAACTCAATTGCAACAATTTCGTACCAAACAAATGCTTAAAAATGTATGATCATTTAATTTAAGCAAAAACTAATATTCCACACAAACCAAATGGAATGTATTTTGTGAGATCCAGTCCATGCGTTCGCAAAACCTTCAGAGAAGAGTTGCCCTTAGCAAGGGTGCATAATGTTGTTGATATACAATTAAACTGTATTGAATTTATTAGGATGAGGATACTCAAATCACAAAGAGTGAAAGCTAAAGCGAAATTGTATTTAAAATACTTAATAACGTAAGGCCAAATTGAAACGTGAAACTACACGGAGTCCTCTTGATTATAGCTCAAGTGGTCGCGTATCTTAGGAAACGGCTTTAAACACGGGTCGGAAAGCAAGGAAAAGGTGGGTTTCCCTGATGTACTTGCCTGAAAAGAAATCTACTTGCTTGAAATTCAGGCTTTTGTCTGTATAACTGAATGTTATCTACTTAAGGCATGTAAATGTCGTGTCCAAAATCTTTTTGGACTAACCAAAATTATAGTCTGTTTTGTTCCTTTTCTGTCATGCGATATTAATTTCATCATTAAGATAGTTTGTTTTCTATGACAAGTTTTTATATCTGAAGATCTGCATTTGGTCGTCCATACTGGAAACTTTGCAAGTTTTTCCTTTGAAAAAGACTGGTATATACCACCTTAATTTGTACAATTGCATAACATGAGAATACAAAGTTTTTCTGCGTCCGGTCAGATGTTTTTTGTTATTTTCATCTTTCTATCAACTTCTCAGAATAGAAATATTCAGTGGAACCGGATGCTTGAGCACTAGCTTTTGTGACAATTCCAGACAATTAGTTGACGTACTTTTAAGTGAAGGCCGGATTGAAATTTATACTTACATCCATACAAATTCGAACCTATAGCTCTACAAACAAGTACTGCAGCGATAGAAACTTTTAGACAACGACTGGTAGTAAGCCTTGAATGACAAGAGTAGTCCATATCGCGAGCTTTTTTGCCCGTCCCTACTGGAAACTTTGCAAGTATTTGATGTGAGAAAAGTTAGAAAACTAGCTTAATTTGAACGTCTACACTTGTCATAGGAAACATTGGTAAATCGTGCATTTTTGTCTTTATCGGTTAACAAAGAAAATTGGCAAAGTAAATATGAACGTTTAGATGCGGATAATAAAATGAAATGGCGCAGTCGTCAGAGGAAGCCCCTTTCACCTGAGTTAGTGAGTTATAGTCTCGCTCACGGACTGATGTGAAAAGAATCAGTCAGCGCACTGGTGAAAGTCGTGATTTTGTACGGGCGCCCCGGGTTCCTACCACAGGTAAAGTTGACAGGGTGGGTTTGGATGAACACAGTTAAGAAAGTAATATCACAATTTGTGTAAAGATGAAACAATCTAGGCTAAGTATACCAATGTAATTAGGTAAGCTGACAATACTAAATGTAAAATGCATTTGATCATAAATTATCCTCATGTAAATGTGCTCTAGAAATCGCGATCGTAATAGTAAATATTGCAGTAGTAGTTATTGTTCACTCTAAAGCTAGAAACGGTGGTAAATAATTTATCTACTTACTGCAACATCGTCAGGTCATTTTATACAAGAACGTCCAGGTCTATTAAAGCCCGATTCCTGAATATTATACGTCTAGCTATACCGAACCAGACTATATGGTATTGAGATACAACCGCTAGTAAACAGAATATTAAGTTAAGTCAAATAGTGTTATTATATATCAATAGTCAAAGTCGCATTTTTCTAGTGTTTTATTGGTTGAGAGCATATCAAGTGAGAGTGTCGAAAATTGATAAATAAATGCTGAAATAACGAGATTTTAGATGGTCGTACACATGATGATGCAATAAAGTTCGAAGTTTAATAAGTTTTGCCTACATTGTTGTAAATGGCTGAATATTATCTACTTAATCGTCGTGCACAAAATCCTATAAACTAACTACTTTGTTACTTTTGCATCATGTGATAGCATTATCAATGAAAAGGGTTGTACGTTTTGAATGACAAGCTTTCATCAGCAGATCCGCATTTGGTTGTCCATACAGTTCACAGGAAACTTTGCAGGTTTTCCCTTTGAGAAAAACTAGTATACAATACAGTGACCTATTTTAAACAAATATATGTTTATCATTGCTGGATAACAGTGCTGGCACAAAGTACATGCATTTCTTCCGACTCACTGTGTCCAATTAGGTTTTATTGTTATTTTCTTGTTTCTATCGACCCCCAAGAATAAATATACAGTTGAAAGGGATGCTTGTGTAATAGCGTTGGCGACAATCCCAGACAGTTAGTTGACGTGCTCTTAACTGTAATTTAAATTTACATCCAAATTGGAACCTATAGCTCTACAAACGAATACTGCAACGATGAAACCATTATAGACAACGAAAAGTATTTCACGTCAGGATTCTTAAATGAAAATCCTTAAATCCGTTGTACGTTTTGAATGATATGTGTTTTTGCTCGTCCGTAGGCTACTGGAGACTTTGCGAGTTTTTGATTTGAGAAAAGCTAGCATGCTAGCTTAATTGAACGAGTATATAGTACACTTGCCATAAAAAAGTTGCAAAATCTTGTTCATCTTTATCGATCAACAATGCGTTTGATTATGAAATATTGTAGCAGTAGTTATTGTTCACTCTAAAGCTAGAGACGGTGGTTAAAATTTTATCCTGGTTATTTGATATCTACCTCTTTAAAATAGTCTGGTCATTATATACAATAACGTCCTGGTAGATTATAGTCGGAAGGTGGGATTCCTTGTTGAACTAGCCAGACTATGGCATATGAAATTCGATAAAGTCACTAGAAAATTTAAGCAATAATATTAAGTTAACTCAAATTATTAGTCCAGTCAAATCAGTATAAGTACATGGTCCTGTTCAAAGTAATCCCCACAGTTTTTTTTTCAGTGGTAAAGTGTGTGAAAAGTTGTTCTGATTAACATATTAAAAATCCCAAAAAATACCTTCGGTGAAACGTGGTGAAAATCAAGTTTTTCTTACTTCTACCTATAGAATAGACATAGACATATACATAGACATTTTATTTGAACCCACTTATTACATTAGTTTTACATTACATTAATTTTTTGACATGACATGGGTTCCGTCTGCCCGAAATAACCATTAAGGGGCTAGATGAATCAGGCAGACGTTTTACACACAACGCTTGACAAACAGATATAACGAAGCTTAATATATAAAGTAGTCAATTTACATAAATATTTTACTCAATTTAGCAGAACCACAGAGAGAAGCAAAACACCATATAATTATGAAATTATTATTAAAATTTAGAATGTTTTAGCAAAATCAATAATTAAAAATAATGAAAGCAATTCAACAATTCGATACATAAATGAACAGAGCAATAGGCTAATATGAATAAAAAAACATTTCCTTAAGTTTACTTTTTAGATTAAAAACTGACAATTTTTTATCGGCCTCATCAAGGGAATTCCATATCTTAACACCCTGGTATCTAATATTAAAAATTCCATAATTAGTTCTTGTTTTTGGCAAAGAATACGACTGCCTTGATGCTAACCTCGTATTATAAGTATGTAATTCTTTGACTGGAGTGAAAAGATTATTAAAGATAGGTGGTAATTCCTCGTGATAATAATCATGCATAAACATCGTGGCATGTAGAGTGAAAAGATCATGTAATTTAATTATTTTTAGAGATTTAAATATTGGTGTGGAATGAGCATCAAATTTAGAAAAGTTAATTATACGCAAAGCCTTTTTCTGTAAAATAAATAAAGGTCGCAAAGATGTAGGATATGTCATACCCCAAGATATTATACCATAAATGAGAAAAGGATGAATTAGAGCATAATATAACTTTATCAAGGTATTCAGGTTGGTAAAATAACGAATTTTAGAGAGTAGACCGATACTTCTTTTCAGTTTTTTTGCGATATAATCAATATGGGATTTCCAATTCAAATGAGAATCAATATAAACTCCAAGATACCTCATACTCTGCACTCTTTTTAATTCAATACCATTAATCTTCAATTTGATGGCACATGTTATTTTCTTTTGGACTGGATGAAATAAAACGAAATTAGATTTTTCTATGTTGAGAGACAACTTATTTACACAAAGCCAAACATGAATATTACTTAGTTCCCTGTTAACATCAGACTCAAGTGACAAGAGATTTTTGTGTTTATAGAATAAATTTGAGTCATCTGCAAATAAATGAAAATCCAATA